AACTGTCGTAATCTCCATATTGTGACGGTTTTCAACCGTCGTAATTATATTTACTAATTCTAAATATTATTTATGCTAGTTGTGACGGTTTAAACCGTCGTAATTTTATCTATAGAATTTTTTTTATAATATTCTATTTTTATTTAAATTACTTTCATCTCATTTTTTTTATAATAGTTTTTTTAATTTAAACTATTATTGTTTTTTGGTAATATATCAAATATATAAAGACTCACGTATATCAAATATATAAAGACTCACATATAACAAATATATAAATTTATATAACTTAAAAACAATTGATATTTCATTATATCACTTTTCTAAATAACTTATTATATTTTCTACTAAATATATACTTATGAATATCTAAATGATCAAATGTCATAATCTATAACTTGATATATACAATATAACCAATATAATTGGACAACCTATGATGATCCAAGATATTCTGCCCAATTTTCCACACCAAGTGATGATCCAAGATTTTCTACCGATGGCTGAAGAATTCTTTGGTATGATTTTGTCTTAGAGGATAGACATGAACATCTACAAAAGGTTAAAAATTACTTCCAGTTAGCACCAATAAAGAAAATCACTTGTGGTCTTCTAGTATTATCATGAGCCCTTCATAATCAGTTTTGTAGTCTTCTAGTTGCTGCTAATCTTTTGGCTTCACCAACCCCCTTTCTAGTATCAACGTCGCCATATTTAAACATTCTCGTTCCCCAGAACTTGTGTTGTCCCTGTTTACCTATTCAAAAAGTTAAATCACAATTCGCATTTACAGGTTTCCGAATAAAGGCAAAGTCAGCGTAGAAAAGATCAATACAACACTTTACTTTTCTAAGGAACAAACAAGCTCAAAATCTCATTTATACATATGCTCCAACAAAAGCTTATTAATAACTCATGTATCTTTATTCTGAGGTGCACCGAGTATCAATTGTCACCCTTGCAGACATGGGTTTATAGTTATTATCCTTGTATTTCAATGAACTCAAGTAAGGCCAAAAATATAATCCAGCAGCATGTTTTTTCTGTCTCAGTGTCCAATACTAAATATGATCCAGCAACATGTTTTTCCTAACCGCTTGAAGACATCGGGAGTGCCGTATCGACTACTAGTAGCATAAAAATTGGTAACCGGCACCAATAAGATAGAAGTTTGAGCATGTTTCTAACTAAATTTCCTAACTCTTCTTATGCATTCCAGATATAGTAGCCATCTATATCTCCGACATAACGAAATTCTAGAGGAGCTTAATTGAGATATAATTACTGTCATAAAATTGATTAAGTTTTTCAATGAACCCGTTAGGAAGATGCAGTGTTATCATTGTTCAGCAGCAAGTAAAAGTTATACAATAACCACAATACAGTTAGTATGAGTATGACTTCCTTACCATCATCATTATAGAATGAAGAATGTTATTCATAATGCCAACAACCACAATCAACAAACTTAATTCTCTCGGAGCCAAATGTTTCTTCCAATTGCAACTCCCTATCCTTATTGGATAACTTGTTGATATCAACAACTCTGATCTCTCCAGAACTGTTAAGTTGCTCACAAAGATCGTCAAGCTTCTGTTGCATGCTCGATAACACCTGGTCCTGGAATATATCGATGACATAAAACAGTATTACTACATACATTCAAAGGTGGGACAATCAAACAAGTCCAAAGCTCCATTTACCATGCAATTTCAGCTATTGGTAAATGAAGCAAATTACACTTAATAGTAGCTTAATAAATTAACTTAATAGTATCTTAATATTAAGGGTCTAGTAGATTCCAAAAAATATATAAAATGGCCAAATTCTTGATATATAACCTAATTTACCATTTCTTACCAGTTATAAAATCATTCAAGTGTATTATAAGTATATTTGTCAATTAGGATTTCTGCTATTTAATTGTATTTCTCCTGTTTCAGTTAGCAAATGAGTCTTTGGCTCATAGGAGCAAACTGGGCCTTTAACCAACTGCACTTAGTGTGTTGGGATGAGCTTATTGTAGCTTAGTAGTAATCATATTTTTTCAGTACAAAATCTAACAGTAAACTATAACTATCAACTTGGTCTAAAAATAATGTACTAGGAATCTTAATCAGTTGCAACCTAAGTCTTCAGATTCAGAGTTTAGAAAATCCAAATTTCAGATTCTCTCGAATCTCTCCAGTTTTCTATTAATTTCTCAGATTTTCTTAGCAATGCAAATAATAGTAATGAAGCTATATAGTCTATACTCACATTGTCATAATCCAGGTTATCGTACATCCTCCCATATGGCCTCACGGGACTTTGGAAGCAGATTTGTTGAAGCTCCATCCACCGCCTTATAATGATTAATGCCTCTAACTTGTTGGGATGGGCTTGTCCCAAGGATATGTTGGATTCTAAAACCTTACTCAACATAACAGTTTGAGGATGATCTGCCACCCCCAATATCTGCTTCTTGGAGCATTCCAACATCATTTGCACCATCGCCGATTGCAAGAGTAGTACAACCTGTTTTAATCTTTACTAATCTAGTAACCTGCATTATTGTAATAGAAAGACTAAACATGTTCAAATCAGCATTATAGGAAGAAACAAGGGTACGCATATAAAGTCACAGAAATTATACAAGTGCTTTTTGCTTCGGAGAAGAACGACAACATATAATAGACGCGCAACTAACTGCAAGTGCGAGAAACAAGTCCTTTACATCATCTTCTAGTGCATATGTCAGAGACTTTCCATCAATTATTAGAGCTAACGCCTCAGTGTTTTCAATTGATGCAGCAAGTAATTCTTTTCCTTCCATTAATTGACAAACAACACTTTTCTTGATTGCCTGCAGAATCAATTAACTTTCATCACAATCACACATCCAATAGGCCAAAGCTCCATGGAAAACAATAATTATATTTACCACATCAGCATCAGACTTGTTTTCCATTTTCTCAAGTGATTTGGTTTCTCGAGTGTCTGAACTAATGATAATTTGTTTCATTTCTTGCCGAAGTAACCTACAAGCAAACCTATGGTGACACTGAAATAATCATACCGATGACTTCATATTACTATGACAGATTTTTCAAAACTGTTGATAAGTACGAACTCACCCGACAGTGATTGCTGTCTCCATTTTATTACCAGTCAAAACCCATAACTTTATTCCTGCCTGTGCTAGCTTATCAATACATTCAGGAACCTATATGTCAAAAAGCGATTGCAAATTTTTAAACGCACTTAGTTCAAACTTCAAAAAGCTAGCTTAGAACTGAGCATAGATAACTTTATCACTAGTTGTAACATACCCCATTTTGAAGTTTGTCTTCAACTGCGGTAGCACCCAGAAGAATTAAATCCTTTTCGATCTTTTCTAATACGTCCTCCACAATCTGCTCTCGATCTGCACTTACTAAGCTCCTGGCTTCCATCAATTCTTTATTAAAAAGAGTGTACTCTTCTTCCTCAAGTTTGCGATAGGCCAATATCAAGGTCCTCAAACCAGCATCTGCATATTCCTTAATGTGCTGCTTAGTCTTTTTCTCAAACTCACTTCCATTCTTCGCAAGTCGTTCAAACATGACACTAATGTTGATAAACACAAAATAGAAACAGTTAAATATTATCAACTTTCAAATCAGTGTGATTTCTCAAGGCTGCAGCTTGCTAGAATACACAATTGAACAAAACAAACAAGCACAATGAATCCTCAAAAATCACATAGTAATTAATCATAATGTACCTCAAATATGCAAAAGTCATCATAAAAGTGGCAGCATACTTGTGAAACCAGTACAACTTTGGGAACCAAAAAACTGCAATGTAAGGAGAAGGCTTTCGGAGGTAATAAGCATAGCTTCTAAGAAGCATAATTGCAATCAAACATAAACTCCAAAATAAGTACAATATTCATTAACTTAGAAAGAACAATGGTCACATAGACATGGATTGGTTTGAGGGAGGATTCCTCGATGTTTGATCACTTCTCTGTGTTGCAACGTATAATCAGTTAGACATGAAAAATGATTAGACAATTGTTGAGGCATACATAGAAAAAGAGATTTTGATTTATATTATGGATAGAAAACTCACAGTAAGGCAAGATCTTCCACTGCTGGTTATCACCACAGTTCCAGTCCCAGAGGATAACAGTACTGCTTTGAAAGATTCGAATTCCGAGAATGTGGTTGAGAGAGCTCGAGTATTATTGAAAAGTTTACTTGATGTTGCTATTGAAGTTGTTTTTGAGACTCATTTGAAGACCACAACAACACAAGCAGGGAAGTCTAAGACATCCATTGAACAAGAAAAACTTGTAACCATGCCGCAGTCAAAGTCTGCAGTGGTAGAGAACAATTCTCAAACCTCAGAAAAAAATCAAACTCGAAGTAAAATGGCTCTACAGAAGGATGAGCAACCTCAACTTGAATTACTATGTAACAAAGAACAGTTAAAAAGCTGTCAAATTTTAGCATCTCTGATACTGGAGGAACGAATAGTAGAACACTAAGCAGTTTAAGCGAGGAGAATGGTATGATGCAGCATAATTTAGTGAAGGAACAAAATCAATCTAATGAAGATGCTTTACCAAACATAGAGAGTAATCATCATGAAGAACAACATAATAATGTGAATGCTTTATATGGTCTTGGTAAGCATGCAGAAGAATCATTGCAAATGTTAGACACAAAAGTTGGTGAGTCCAATAAAGACAGTAATATGCCATTGCAGAGTGCTTCCAGATTTTCTGAATGTCTAGAACAGAAGGGTGATTTCTCGGAGGATTTGGTTAATTCAATAAAAAGAATTGAATCTCGCATTTTGGCTTTTAAACTTTGCTCGAATTTGGGTGAATCCAGTAAGAGCAACAGTGCAGTTCGCGATCCTTTGCACAAAGTAGCTAATTTGGAAAGTCCCAAAATACAAAGAAAAGACAGTGCTGCAAGAAGTCACTTTAATTGTAAAAAGTCTCTCTTTGAAGGACATAGGCTAATGGATCAGCACACTCGTGATTCAAGTTCTAAAGGTGTAAACTTGATTTCAGAAAGTGCAGCTGAGGAACCCTTTTTATATAAATCACTCACAAGTATCATATCAGCGTTAGGTAAGAAATTTACTTGATGTGTTATGTATATCACACTTTTTGTTTTTAAAACGCCAAGCAAACACTCATGAAACATTACAGTAGTAGTAAATGTACAGTAAGATACAAACCTTTCCATCAAAATGCATAACAAAACAGATTGTAGTAAAAGCAAGAGACTTTAGAAAATAGCACCTTAAAAAGATGGGATCCTGTATGAGCATCAACTGCACTAAAGGGATCGTCGAGAAGATATATATCAGCATCTTGATAAAGAGCACGCGCTATTTCTAGTCTTTGCTTCTGTCCACCACTCAAATTGATTCCTTTTTCTCCAATAATGGTCTGATCACCAAATGGTAGAACCTCTAAATCTTTCTTCAATGAACATGCTTCTAGCACCCTCTCATACTTTTCCCTATCCATCTCCCTCCCAAATAGTATGTTATCTTCTATCCTTCCACTTTGAATCCATGGTGATTGAGCAACATAAGCCTTTGTTCCACACACCTTCAAGTTACCAGATATCTTTGGTATTTCACCTATTATACAAGTCGAATCAAGCTAGGATAGAGAAGTTTCAACAATCTTTTTATAGGATGAGTCATCATTGTATGTCCTGCTGCACATCATTCATCCAGTGGAACATCACCATACCCTCCGCGTAGAGCAATTGATCTACAAAGAGCTAATCCATACAACATTAGGAAATTTAAAGACTCAGGATATATCATTCTGTTGGTCGAGCGATGATGCACAGCATAAATAGTCTGGTACTCCTTCAGGGTTTTCACAACTCTCAGTTGCAATGCACTCCGTGTATCTTCCAGTTTATGGGACAATGTTTTCTTAATTGCTACAAATATGACAAAACTGTATAAGATAGAAACATACATATCTATCATCTATGATGTCACTACTAGAACAAGAGTCTAGAAGTCCTTTGATCCTACCTAACATACTAAACAGAGATACGATTGCACCAGTATCAGCCAAGCGATAGATATCAGCCAAATCTGTAACTACCGGCAGTGCCATCGTGTGTACTCTTATACGCCTTTCTCCACAAGAAGCGGTGTAACTATTTTGTTGTTAGGGAAGAAACTTTTTTCTTTTTTTTAAACTCACATTCTTAATATCCTACTAACAAAAGTTAGCGAAATATCAACCATGATAGACATTCAGGCAAATGCTAAACAGTGGAGGAGAAATAGTAAAACCAAAGCATGATAAAGATGAGCTGAATGGTCTAACAAAAAAAACGAAAAAAGGAAATATTAAGAAAATGTACTTTCTAGGAAAGATTCAAAAGTACAAAATCCTTTTATCTGATATTCAAAGAAGGATATTTTGTTTTCCTTTTTGAATAGTAGTATCACAAAACATATGATTCAACATTGTCTATAGAAATAAAGCTCTTGAATATTAGAACTCATCTTATGAACTATTGAAGAAAGGATACAACAATGCAACTTGAACGTAAACTGTTCGAGTTGTCAATAATGTCTCTTCAAGTGTTAACTGCATGGCAAAGGCTTTATCACAATCTACAGCTGGAAGTGCCAACAAATCCGTGGACTTTAGCATGAAGTTTCCATGATAAGTTGTGAAACGGACACCTAGAAGCATGGACACTTATTAGCAATTGTATTTGTAAGTGTGTCTGTTCAATCGTATATGTTTAATTTTATATACACATAGTATAAAACCGAATATAAACAAAAGGAGGCAAGGAAGGTACATATTTCCAAGACATAACGAATGCACAAACCTTTTCCACATCTAACACGCATTAAAGCTTCCCATGCAGTCTCTCTAGTGAGGTCTCTTCTTAATTCATGTCTCAATTTCTCCCCGTGAATAGATGATTGGAAAGCTAGATAGTAATACACATGACCAGCAATGTACTTTGCCAGAGTTCCTAAACAGACAATAAATCATAAATACATAATTTACTCGGAGTATACAATCATTGGCATGCACGACTATATGCTTAGAATACCACAGATTCTGACAAAACAATATCAAACAAATTATTGTAAAAAAAAAAATCAAACAGGAATTACATCTGGACAAGGGATGCATTATATAAAGATATAAGTTATAACTACTACAAATTAACACATAATTTGTGAGTTCACTTTGAGCATTAACATGCAATGTTTTGCCTTGCCAAATTCTTCAATGAGAGTATCAGTTAAAATTCCACGCATAAGGGATGCATTATTTAAAGATATAAGTTATAACTACTACAAATTAACACACCGTGGGCATTTTCCGTGGGCATTTCGTGAGCCTGATTGAGCAAAACTGTTGTGGATTTCGATTATGTATTCACTGATACATCCATGAAGGGGTTTTGTGACAGAATTTGAGAGAAAGAGAAGATCGGGAAATTGAAAGATGTCGAGGGATTTAGAGGTTAAATTGGAAAATGAAATATTAAAAAGGAATTGAAGGTCGAATTGAAGATGGTTGAGTTTAGGATTTTGGGATTTTTCAGAAACCTTTTGCGAGAAGAAGAAGAAGGAGGTGGGGTTCACAAGTTGTTTTTCTGAAACTTTTTTTTCAATATTTTTTTTAAAGTGTAGACATGTTTTTAATCTATAATTTATAATTTGTAATGTATTTATAATCTCCATAAAACATTTATATATATATATATATATATATATATATATATATATATATATATATATATATATATATATATATATATATATATATATATATATATATATATATATATATATATATATATATATATATATATATATATATATATATATATATATATATATATATATATATATATATATATATATATATATATATATATATATATATATATATATATATATATATATATATATATATATATATATATATATATATATTAACATTACATTAATTTTAATAAAAGTTAACTATTTATATAATAAAACAGAAAATATTTTACTATTATTTTAGATAAAAATATTAAGCTATATTGTCATGAAAATTATAATAATTATTTATTAAATTAATTAATAAAATTGAAAAGGTCAGAAAATAAAAATGAAAGAAAAAAGTGGAAAATTAAATGAATAAAAAAAATAGTGATTATGATTGGCTAAAGTAATTGCGACGGTTCGCCTTAACTGTCGCGAGTGTGGAAAGAGAGAGGTTCTTTGGTAACTATCGCATTATTTTATACAACATGCCTAAAAGATTTGTGACGGTTGGCTCAAACCGTCGCGAGAACTGTCGTAGTCCAGGAATAAGGACAGTTTTTTGATAACTGTCACAAAAAATCTACGACAGTTGACCATAACTGTCGTGACAACCGTCGCAATCCAGAAATAAAGACGGTTTTGTGATAACTGTCGCAACTCAAGTGTCGTAAATCTCATTTTTTCTTGTAGTGATTGTTTATGGCCTGTTGAGAATGAAGGGATCAGATTGCACCCTTGTTATCATCTTATGGCCAAGATTGAATGTGTTACTTATCCATGAAGTAACAAGTTGAAAGTCCATGATGCAAGCCTCAAATTGAAATTCCATTAATGCCAAAGTGTTCCAAATGATATTTCCACTCAAAATATGCTCTCATTTGGTCTTGTTTGAACACATATGATTAAATTTTAATTTTTCAACTTAAATGCCTTTTAATTCCCCTTTTATCAAGCTTCCATGAACCAAGTCTTTCCCTAAGCCAAATCAATGCCTCATGGATACATGGCTGACCTTAAAATCCAATTTTGAGCAAGTTTTGTGTTGGACAAAACTTCATTTGGAGTGTGCAAGATAGTGAAAATGACCTATAATGCAAAATGACCTATAATCTCACTTTCCCAAAATACCCCTGACTTGTAAACCTCATAACATGAGTTCTACAAATCAGATGGAAGAATTCTAGTACAATTTGGAAATCTAAGACCAAGACGTACAACTTTCATATTGGCCAAAAGTTGAGGAGAAACATCCTTCTATGTCAAAAGTGTATTGGAAGTTGGTGGACTTTTGCAGACAAATTTCACATCCATCTGATGACCTGTAACTTGTCTGGATCATAACTTGAGTTCTATAAATCCAATCAAGGGCTTCTAGTACTCAAATTAAATTTAAGAACATTCTTTACAAGTTCCATGTTGGTCAAAAGTTGAGATGAAACTTGTATCTTGAAATAAGTGGTCTTGAAGCCAGGCACTAACTAGGGGATTTTACCCTAAGAACCCTAGTTTATCAATTCCTCACACTTTGAATTCTTCTTAATTTGATCTTGGAATAAAACCTCATGCATCTCAAAACAACTTTCCATGATCAAAAAGACCTAGAACTGAGTCTTAACCCCCTTCAACTGCACAATTGACTCAAGGTTGACCAGATGAAAACCCTAATTGCAACACCTTCAACTGTGGCTTTCCACACTTGGCATGAACACTTGAATGAACTCTACCATGACCCTCAAGGCCTCTAATGAGCTCTATCCACATACCCTATCCATGATCAAGGCTTCACAACTCACTGATAGTCTTCAATTGGCCCCCAAGTTAGGAGATGAACCACATACCAGCATCCAAACTTCTCAAGAACACAACCCACTTTCTGATGACTTTGGTGACCTCTCAAGCTTGAATAAGACCTCTAGATAGGCTCCTCTTAATATAGACCACACTTGATCCCCTGCTAAATGAATAATTCTATGCTATGCAAATGCTAGAACAATGCAATGCTAATGCAATGAAACATAAACCAAGTGAGAAAAAGGTTGGCCAAATTTTGGGGTGCAACAATAAGGCGGCGATGTCCTATCGAATCTTCTTTTTTCTTTGCCATCCCCCATTTAGCAGTAGCTTTTAGATAACTCACCCCTTTTGGACAGATAACAAGCGTGGATCCCGTTGAGTACAACGGGCGTGAGGGGTGCTCATACCTTCCCCTTGCATAACCGTCTCCCAAACCCAAGATTTGGTTGTGATGACCTTATCTTTTCCCGTTCTTTTAGGTTTTCTTCTATCGTTTCCTTTCTCTTCTTTAGGATAAATAACGTTCAGTGCCGACTCTTCTGTTTGTTTTCGCCGACCTTTTTCGCATTTGAGACACATAGGGTTTCAGCTATGCACAAAGAAAACCTTGGATTACACCTTGAGTTTGAGTGATTCATATATTGAGAGTTGGAGAGGTAGGAAAACACTTGAGTAGAAAATAAGATTGATGAATAAATATGCAATAATGTTATTAAATTTTGCATTTGAGGGAAACACTTGGATTACACCTTTTTCGCATTCTTAAGGTATGATCTTCCTCTCCTTCTTTCTCAAACATTGATGAATAAATATGCAATAATGTTATTAAATTTTGCATATATCATAAGATATCTTTATAAAGAAAGTGGAGTTGGGACATTACCCTTTCAATAAAGAGTTACAATAGTTCACTATATT